AGAAAGAATAAACTAGTTTTATTTAAGAAAGGACTTGTATCGCTGAAGTTCCTCGTGAATAATTTATACCGGAAATTAACAAACGACCAGAGACGTAACACCACTGTCATTTGACAATATATAGATGGAGTAGGCAACCAGGAGAAATAAGTACAGTTAAAACTACGAGGTGTGTCTAATACAGCTAACCATATACAGAGTAGATAGCTGGAAGTAATAAATACAGTTAGGCCTTAAACAGTAGCTGGAAGTAATAAATACAGATAGAGCTTAAGAGTTAAATAGTAGCCGGAAGTAATAGATACAGTTAGGCCATAAAATTTTAAACAGTAGCCAGAAGTAATAAATATATATAAAAAAAACTTTATATATATTTTAGGTGATACTTTTTCAGATGTAACTTATTTCTTATTTTCTATCTTCTTCACACATGTTTGAAGCCAGGATTTACTCTAGAAATTCAAGCGAGCAGGTGATTTATGTACTTGCAATCAAAATAAATGACTCAGTATCAAAATACAACTCTCTAGTTGACATGTTTACAATTACAGTGATAATGAGCGTAATTATAAAGCGCCACAATAGCTTTTAATATTCACATATGTATATTTGCACAGAAAAGTAAGCATCAGATATAGTTTCAGATTACAAGTTGTCAATAGTTGGCAGGTGCTACGGTACAAAGAAAAACAAAAGTTGTTTTTTTTGCTTTTTATTATGTTTATTTTTTCTGATACTGTGATACTTATGTGAGCAATGATGGCTGGCAGAGACATTTCTCTAAAAACAGTGATACTAGGTTGATCAAAGATGACTGAAAAGAACATTTCTTCAAATAATTCAAATAAAAAACATCGATACTCACATGACCAACGATGACTGGCAGAGACATTTCTCCCGAGGTTGCGCCAAACACAAGAATACTTGTAATGGTTGCTGAAAGAAAGAAGCACTTACTGAGACATTAGTTCTCAAACTGTGGGGCGTGTCCCCTCAGGAGGGGAGAATTTATTTTTTATTTGGGAATTCGTGGAAAGCCTCAGGAAGACATTTCGTCTTTCGATTTTTTAACGCTAAATGAATTGTTTTTTCATTGTTTAACAGTTTAAATGAGTTGAACTTGGGGGGGGGGATTGTATTATAGAGAACAAATAAGGAAGTGAAACTTAAAACGTTTGAGACACACTGCAATTGAGTATAATTTTAATTCGCGGAGTGTTTTGGAAATAATTATGAAAAAGCACGCACGATACAAATAGAGGCGTCACTAACAATGACTATAACTTAATTGACTTTTTTTAAGTGACATTATTACGAAAAAATCAAAAAGCAGATAAGTTGTACAATACACCAGTATTTTATATTTGATACTACAGATATGTGGCAGGAAGTTTTGTGGTTAGAAGAGACAAAATTGAGCTTTTTTGTTTAGAATCAAAGCGTTATGTTTGGTGCAAGCCCAACACAGCACATTACCCAGTCAACACCATCCAACTATCAAGCATGGTGGTGGTAGCATCATGTTATGGGGATGCTTCTCATCAGCGAGGACTGAGAAGCTTGTCAGGATTGAGGGTAAGATGGATGGTGCAAAGTAAAGGCGAATCATAGAGGAAAATAGGCTTGAGTGAACCAAGAATCTAAAACTGGGTCGAAAATTCACATTTTAGCAGGACAATGACCCCGAAGCAAAAGGCCAAAGCCACACTGGAGTGGTTTCAAAAGAAGAAAATGAATGTCCTGGAGTGACCCAGTCAATGTCCTGACTTGAGTCCAATGTAAAATTTATGGCAAGACTTGAAAATTCAGTCCATCAACGATCTCTAACGAACTTATCAGAATTGAAGCAATTTTGCCATGAAGAATGGGCAAAAATTACACCATGCAAAGCTGGTAGAGACCTATCCAAAAATAATCACAGCAGTAATTGCTGTCAAAGATGCTTCCACCAAATACTGACGTAGGGGCTGAAGATTTATGCAATCAACAAATTTCAATTTATATATTTTATTTGCAGGTTTTGCAGATATTCAACCTCCTTCACACATAACATTGTTAAGTTTGATCATTAAAAAATATTTACATTATTTGTATGTCATCAAAATGTGATATTTTTGGTAAGGATGAATACTTTTGCAAGGTACTGTATGCATGATTTCAAAATATCATTCCAAAGGTGCTGTACTTACTTCCAACAATTCATTCAAGCTAGTCGGTTGCTAGTTAACTTCTTAATTTCAATATAAGCTATTACAGCCTAATTAATATTCACATGGGAACTTTTGCAGGCCAAACCACTGTTGCAGGTGTTCCTTTGACTTCTTCTCCAGGTATCGTTTTACCTCATTTGATGCATGTTTGGAGTCAGTGTCTTGATAAAAGACGAATCAGTGTCCATCGGGTTGGTTTACCCGAGGGATTGAAATGGTATTAAGAATATGTTGTACGTACCAGCAGTCAGGGATCCATCAACACTATCGGCTAAGATTCAGCCTACACTTGTATTTCTCTCCCAGCATGCTTAACTGTATATGGTGTTCTCCTCTCCACCATTGAACAAAGCATCGTTGAATTTTTCCAAATAGTGTTTATCTTTATTCTACTGTAACGAGCACTCTTCTCTAAATTTGATCATCCCACTTTTGAAATCTGATGCTCATTTCAGGTTTTTTGGTTTGATTATCTCCTTTAAGGAGTTTTTTTTTTATTAGTTACACATTCACCGAGGTCACTAACACGTGTTTTACTCTTCTGGATGCTATTTCAAAGCCTGTATTTACAACTAGGTTAATGGTCAAGTATCTGTTGGTTTGTCTTTAATCACATAAAGAGCATGAGTTGAATTATATAGCAACATATTTGAAGAGTTTAGGAGGAAGAGGTCTCAGCGCACCTGACCCTCCTAGGTCACAAAGACCTAAATTCCTGTCAGGAGGAGAGAGAGAGAGTTTGGGCTTTCTACATTGACGTTTTTATCATCAACGTACCCTCTTTATATATCTCCTACTAAAACATATAATTTCACCTCAATTTGTCTCATGGAATATCCTTCATGAGTCAAAACTTATATATCTACATGTTTATTATGTGATATTTCTCTCCTGTGAATTATAACTGTTGTGAATAGTATGATTGTTTTTACTTTTATAAGGACTATGCTATTGTGGCACTATCAACATAGTTGGATGATAGACAGTCACAGTGAAATTATCAGCACGTGACTGTACTCTGGCTCAGTTCATATAAGAGAGAGAAAAACCCAGTACTATTTGAATTATATATTAATTTTATTCGCTGTTTCCATTACTACTTTTGATGTTTAATATATATATATATATATATATATAGACAAACACACATACATTAAATCCAAAGAAAAATAAATACGAATTTTTTATATAAACCAAGTAAAAACGAAGGACTAATAAACAGGCTATAGAATGAATCAGAAATCATTATAATGCATAAACATATTAACATTTCTGCCTTGAGAAGGATTACTAAAAGTGCATTGTATTTAAGGAAGAATTTCTGAGCAACATCTAAAAATATTTTTTTATCAAAATGACCCAACAAGAAGAATTACAATTTCAGAAAAACCTATAAATGGGTTATAATGTTCTAAATAGAATTCTTATGTCAAGGGTATGAAGTACCAAAAATTATTAAAACCTTGTAACAGCCTAGAAAGAGGAGCGTAAGTTATTTCTAGAACACGTTGTTTAACTACTTACGGGTAATGTTTACGTACTGCTCAGAAAGGGAAAGTACAGTCGGGAAAACGCTGCTCATGAAAACCCCCAATAAGCAAACTCCAAGGATCAGTGATGTCTGGCAACTGGGAGAACTTATTATCAAGATAATTCCAACTGTACAGCCCACCTGGTAGTAAAATATATAAATGAAATATTTATTAAAACTATAATTTAATTTAATAGTTAGAACTAATTAAATGAAAATCTCAGAATGTATTTAAACCAATATTTTTGGTCCGTGGATCAGAAAATAAAAATATGTTGTCAATATAAATTTATATGAGAATATCGTGTAAATATTAGAATAATTCGCCGTAGAAAAATGATTATCATTTTATTTACATTATTACAAACTTACTTGGTACTCTACTTCCTAACATTTCAAGTTTTCTATCGTAAAACGTTATATATCCGCTGTCATGGAACTTTTTATTGCATATTGTCTTTTAGAAGGACATCTGTTGTCACAGAAGGTCTTATCATATATTGTCTCTTAGAACGCCATTTGTTAACCAGAATACTCTATTGTGTAACGTCTTTCACAAGATAAGAATTTTGGAGAACCCTAATCTCGCTTTCTTTCTTTAAAGTGACCGATCTAATTATGTGTATGATTTGGTTTTTTAAGGAGATTAAATATCATCCCAAGGAAAGTTCATTCTTGGTCAGAATAGTATTGGTCTTTTGAATTTGCAAAGAATCGTCTGGTACAGAGAAACCTCCCTCAAAAAACTCTTAGACGAAGCTTGTGACCTCTCTCTCACTCTTATCTCATTATGAATCAATAAACATGTCGTCTGTGTCCAGTCACTTTTTATAAAATTCTGTTTGACTTTTGGTGTGCCTTGCCCGTAAATTCTCGAAATCTCTTGTAATCGTGATCTTTTCAGCTAATCTGTTGATTTGGTTCTATCTGAGAGTGTTGAAATTTACATAGGTAGACTTTACTTTGTATCATCTTTAGTAACAATTTGTAAATACGTTTTAAAGATTTTCATTATTTTACAATTTTTATAATGTAAAATTATGGCTCTGACTAAACAAAAATTACGCTATAAATCACCACCCTCAATTCATTATCACGAAAGCCAGGCATGTCATCTGTCACGAGCTCACAATGCAAATAGTTGGTTATGTATAGTTTATGTATCAAAATATAAAACAAGCATTAACTTTTGTATTATAAATATGTTCCATTTCATAATTTTGCTATTTGTAACGCAGTCCTTCCTTTTCGATGTAAATGTTATTTCAATTGCTTAGATGGTGTTTATGTTTACACTATATATATAGTGCTCTTCCACAGTCGTCAAGTAGTATCACAGAATTTAAAGTATTCAATATTTTCACGAACCCTAGATGGACATTAGAAAATACATTTTTGGAAGAAGTTATTGGGTAAATGGGAGGTAGCAAATTACAGCAGACGAATATTTTAAATGTGGAACTGCATCTATTGTCATGGTACTATTGCTTCGACATCTAAACATGGCAGATTATCATCCATAAAAAAGTTACTATGTTTTGATTTTCTCTAACAATTGTAGGCAACCTAAACCGATATTGAATCAAGTGTTCACAGCTGAACAGTGTACGTATGGCTAGAAGCAAATTACACGAGGTTAGTTAGCTTGCCGGGTGCCCAACGACATGTAACTTCGGTGCCATTGCTGCTCGTGGTGACCATATTGGAGTGCAATGTCTCGAATATAAATTTATAATGATACCTCAATCAAATGTCGACATACTAGAACAAACTAAATGGTCAGTAATTTGTATTTCAGATCATATGACAAATCTTAAGATGTTTAATTTCTATACAATTATCTGGGAGAATAAGTGACATTCTGTATAACAATAGTTTGCGTTATCATAATATAAAGTCCTTTGTCTTTGGTCTGCACAGTGGAAATGTTAGTTCTATGTAAAGGAATTTTACGAAATTTAAAGTCTTTACTAGGAATTTCAGATGAATAATTATTCCTAATTATATTTCCAACAGAGAAAGGCACTGTTAATATACTCAGAATCGACAATTGAGTCAATGAAGGTAATTTACTTTCTGTCTAAAACAACAGAAGGTGCGCAAAAGCAGAAAAATCCATTTAATTCATATAATTTATCTATGAAAGAATTTTATTAAATAAGATGTTGCAGCTACTCGAAAGCTTAGAGAAATGGCAGATACAACACGACACAGCTTTAATTGGTTTTAAGTTTAAAAGAAAAGTGACTATTGTGTAAAACAGATTAAGATCAAGACCAACCAGTGAACAAGTTTTTTTTTGTTTTTGTTAATTTGTTCCTTAAGATAAACTTATACCTTAGTATTAAAAATTCACTTTTTATGTGAATGTTTTGGTTAACTTCCCAAAAGGAGTTTAATATTTTACGTCTTCTCCTTTTAAAAGAATGTTTATTAAATTTCGTCGCCTAGTTTCATTCACAGACACGTCTGAATTCATATAGCGCAGTTGTTCACCAAACATTTTAAATTTAAGGAGAAATACTAGGCGGCGCTTCAAGATATGATCCATCAATCATAAATGTTAAATAAAACCCAAAACCCCATAGAAGTAGTACAGGTTTTTGAAAGAACAAGCAAAACATAGCAATATTTTTCTCTCGCACAAAACGTATCATACTTTAGTTGATGGTTAAAGGTGTAATCAATGGGGACATATATATATATATTATTGATCACCAATTAAACCATTGTTATCAAATAAAACAGCTTCGCGGTTATTGTTATTGACGATATATGTACAATTATATAAAACGTGATCGACGTTTACATGAATGGTGTTTAGTAAGTGCACTGTGAATCCCCTGATGTTTAAGTTAAGGAAGATAACTGGACAACTTAAAAGTAGTTTTTATCTAACTTGGTACAGAGTAGGAGATTTTTAGATAACATAAATAAGCTATTTATTACTTACAAAGTTACACAGTAGCATGAAAGCTGGAGAAAGTTTTGTCGCTAGTACAATAGAAATGAGTCGCCCACCGGCAAACATCCCCTAAGAAGATAACAAAGACACGCTATTGTTCCTAAATAAAACATTTCCTAGAAAAATACCAAAAATATACATTGTTTCTTATAAACAACAACACCCCCCCCAAAAAAAAAACAGGAAGAATACCAAAGCTACGCTATTGATCTTTTATAATATAATCCCTAGAAAAAATAACAAAAATAAACATTGTTTCTTATAAAAATCCTTTCGAAAATTAACAAAGATAGCTTTTTTTCCTTATAAAATATGCTGGAAAATAACAAATGTATGTATTATGTTTATTATAAAACATCGCTTATAACAATAACAATATATACTATTGTTACGACAGCGGAAGTCACGTGACTCTGATGGCGTGTGTGATGAGTTTCTCGAATGATCGGGGAAGTCCGAGTGTGATCGAGATGCCCTCTTCGTTAGTATATAAGCCTGGCAGAGAAAGCCAGCACCCAGACCCAGCCACCATTTACCATAGACGCCTATCAACAGACCAACAACACGCCTCCCAGCCCTATGCCACTTTCTACATCATCGGCGTCTAACTCACCGAACACCTTAGTAATTGACACCTCCCCCGATCTCTACCTACCCGACGAACCTTTCTCAGTCTTCCGCTCTCTCACCAACGACACCTTTACCACCTGCCCGGAACCAGAAACTATGCCAATTTAAATCCATGATAAACTTCAGGAGACTCCACAACAGTTTCAAAAATTAATCAACCCCAGCACCGGCCTTCACTTTGCCTTCCCTACTTACTTCTTCTCATTAATCGGGCACTGGTAACGAATCAGTCGTCACCAGTGAAAGTGGGTTTTCTGGGGGTACTCCCGTTTCCCCCACATTAAATTCTCGGCATAGGATTTTTAGATCCCCGCCGCCCTGATGGACCATCTGTCCGATATCGACAGTTTAGTTTAGTCTAGTTTACTTTGCTCTTCACTTTTTATTGTCTACAATTACTCGCTCTTTATCTTTTTAAAATTACATACCCAGTCCGCATTAATTTCCTATTTTTTTCATGTTAAGCCCATATTTCTAGACCACGAGCGGGGTGAAGAAGGATTGTTTAATCTTCGAACACCCCAGATTAATAATTATTTCTTCGGAAATAATTATCTTTAAATCTAAATAACTGCCAGGGAAAAACGAAAAACCAGCACATGCGTTAATGAATGAATAGAAAGCATTCTGTTAGTTTCGAGCTAGTGAGCCATAAAGTGTGAGTTTTGCACTCGTCAAGAGCGAAGTTGTCGAGATTGTGAATCGTTGTGATTTATAGCCTGTATTATAAAAGTTTTTAAGTTTAAAGTGACGAGAAACATACTGATTGTATAACTACTGTGTACTAAAAGATTATATCGAGGAAGAATAAACTGGTTTAATCAAAAAAGGACTTGTATCGCTGAAGATCCTCGGAAAGAATTTCTACCAAAACAAACAAGCAGATACGTAACACTATTTTTGTTCTTATAAAACATTCCCCAGAATAACAAAAATAACAAAAGATATATATTGTTCCTTCATAAAATATTCCCTGGAAAAATAATAAAGTTAAATATTGTTCTTTATAAAATAACCAGGAACACAAAACACTTTAGAAAAATAACAAAAGTATGTTATTATACCTTAATAACTTATATCCTGAAAAAAATAACAAATATATTCTTGTGGGTTATATTTATTATTCTAATATTTTTGTTCACCAGAGATAGTTTACATTTTTAGTCGCGGCATAGCGCATCATAGAATGGCTCAGAGTTTTCCAAGTACAATCTTTTATCTCATAGTTCCATTATCTCTTGAACAATTTGAGATCTAGTTATAGTTTTGGAATCGGGAAGTTAAACCCTTTAGATTGACGAGTTTGATCACGCCTAAGGTCTCATAGATTAATTTTCTCTAATCATGCTTAAAATAATGTCAATTTGAGGGTAGGCTGATAGAGATCCTGACGAGTAACATAATGGAATTGAGTATAAGCGTGCCCCACGCTCGATAATGCTGGTGCACAAAAATATAGCTAATAAAAAAGAAAACAATAGAACTAATAGATTAATTTACTCCAATCCTGCCTAAAAAAACTTCAAGTGCAGCGGCTATTGTGGATTCCATCTTGTTTTACATGTGAAATTATTTGTGAAACCTAGAAATTCCATAGAATATTAGAACTGCCTAAAGTAGTTATTTGTTTGTTTTGAATTTCGCGCAAAGCTACAAGAGAGCTATCTGCGCTAGCCTTTCCTAATTTAGCAGTTATAGAGAGAAAACAGCTAGTCAACACCACCCACCGCCAACTCTTGGGCTATTCTTTTCCAAACGAATAATTGGAATGATTATCGCATTATAACGCTCCCACGGCTGAAAAGGCGAATTGACAGGGATTTGAATCAGCAACCTTCAGATTGCAAGTCCAGCACCCTAACCACCAGATCATGTTCCTGCAGTAGCGCCAGTACGTAGAAAACTCGTACAGTGCAAAAATACCAGACTGGATGAATTAGGGTTAATTAACTAGCTCAATCTATGGCAGTGTCAATTCACGAGTTAGACAGTCGGAGTTAGCGAGTTCGTAAATCTGTGATTTCGTTAGTGAGTCAGTCAGCGTGTATGTAATTGATCGATTAGCGAGGAAATTCCGCACGTAAGTTTATTTGTGAGTTAGGTGTATAATAGGTTTCAGAATTTTTTTTCAAATGTTGTTTGTAAAGGTAGGTTTCTAAGTGAATGTAGTTTGTAGCAAACAATATTAAAGAAAAATAATAATTCGTTATCATTATGCTAGGTGGTCTGGATTTCGCATTATTTCTGCCAAATAATCCAAAGTAACCTGCCCAACGATAAAACACGTTACAACAGTGGTCTCAGAAGTGGAATTATATGGGTGAAAATAAAATATAATGAAAACACGAGCACGAAGCGATAAGAAAAATTTGCTGGAGGTGACGAAACAGTGGAAATAAGAACAAACAGAGAAAAAGCAATAAAAGAAGGTTAAAGAGATAGAAAATGAAAAGAAGTAAATGAAGGCAGAAAATTTAAATGTGATTATAAGGTAAGAGATGGAAATTCAAGATGTGAGTTAAAAGAAAATTTAAGATCAAAATCAAATCTGATTAAAGACAACATCGACGAAGCTATTGGAGATGTACATAGGAATTATAACACCAAATTCTTTGTTTGTAATTAAGCACAAAGCTACACAATGGGCTATCTGTGTTTTGCCCACCTCGGGTATCGAAACCCGGATTCTAGCGTTGTAAGTCCGCAGACATACCGCTGTGCCACTATAACACCAAAACTGAAAGGTATAGAAAAACATCAACGAGTACAGAAAATCTATAACCACAAAACTGAAGAAGTACTAAAAACATACACGAAGTAAAAATGGTTTTAATGGCAAGATTGAAAAAGTATAATAATATTATAACATCAAAACCAATAACGTATAAAATAGCTTCAATGACATAATGAAAAAAATTGGTAAATATTTCTACATCTGCCCAGGAAATACAACCTCATTTACTCTAAAAATATGGAATAGGAGAACCTATTTGGTCTAAATTTGTTACCAGTATTCCTGTGCTATTTGTGAATGCAGGACCTTCCTGGACTGCTCCAGCCATGTCACTAACAAATCCAGTTCCATGATTTAGCTGACCGGTTCTACAACAATGCTCAATCGAAACATCAACAGACCATGAAAAAAAAGGTAACACGGGAGGCATAACAGACTGAGTTTAAAATCGTTTCTAAAGTGAACGGGCGGAACAAGTTATTCAGCTTCAACGACACTGACAGACTTTTCTATCTGAGAGCCATAAGAATTATCAAACATTGGTAAACGACTTATACAAGAGGTTCAGAGTGGCAGGGCTAAATACCAGTTAGTTTCGTTCACTGTTCTACACATGTTTCCTAACTATACATGATTTACTTTTAGAATGTAAGCTGCAGTTGAGACTCAACTGATACAAGGTAAATATTATGCTATATATATTATGCTCTCTCTCTCTCTATATATATATATATATTTATTTATATATACAAGGAAATAAATATATTTTGCTGAAGGAAGTGATTAATAAAGATGAAACAACACAAAAGTGCCTTTTAAGATATTATAAAACAAATACTGTTACATCTCTGGTCGTTTGTTAATTTTCCGTACAAATTATTTTCGAAAAACTTCAGCGATACAAGTCCTTTCTTAAATTAAACTAGTTTATTCTTTCACAATACAACTTTGCAATACACTTAATTTCCACAGTCACTTTAACTTCAACACACGCTAGAATTCACAACGATTCACGCACTTTACTTACGGCTTGACTCGATTATCTGTCTCCATATCTCTCTGTCTGCAATTATCTTCCCGCCGTCACTTTATTTGCCGGCTTATATACGAGAACATAGCATGCCTAGAAAAGCCTAGAGTTGCGAGGAACAGTCACGATCTTTCTAGAACTCCAGCGCATGCTCTAAACGTCGCGCGACTTCCGCTGTCGTAACAATACATAAAAGCATAAAATACCGGTTTTATATCATCTAGATTCTAGAACACTCTTCAGTTTCTACAATAAAGCTTTCTCGAATAACTCAACAAGACAAACTTAACAATGTAAAACTTCCCGTGTTTTTTTTTTACCTTAAAGCTTTATAAATGTTTTAAACTCTCTCTGTATGTTAAACTATGTAACATCTAATGTGGTTTTAAATTTATTAAGTAAAATGATTTCATAAAATAATCTCTTATTCTTTTCACATGAATACCAAAGTGGAAATATTTGGAAAAATGGTTCTTCAAAAGTATGACATTTTCCATAATACACTTATTGTGTTTGTTAACAGGTAATGGGTATTATTTACATTTCTTATATAAGATTTATATGCCTCCAGTGGCACAGGGGTATGTCTGTGTACTTACAACGCTTGAAACCGGGTTTCGATACCCTGATGGGCAGAACACAGATAGCCCATTGTGTTGCTTTGTGCTTAACTTCAAACAACAACACGGAGATTTATATAAATATGTTCTCAAACGTAAAGTTTCTGTTTCTCTAACACATCTCTGCCTACAACAAATACAAAATAATACATAAATAACATTATTTAAATTACAACCAAATCTAAAGTTTATATAAATATTTTTCCCCAGTAGGGCCTGTAATATATTTAGTGTATATAATACAACCGATATGTATATATGTGTGCATTTTGGAAAACAAAATAGTTAAAAATCACGTTTCTTTATATAATGACAAGTTCAAAGAAAACGCAAACATTCTTACAAGAAAGGTATTTCATTTTTAAACAACGAGATCAATAAGAAAAAGTGGATTTTGAGAATAAATCCCTTCTTACCCAAAACAAAGCATTTAGAAAAGCAGCCTTATTTGGTGGTAGTCCAGCAGGGCCCTTTACTCCATACGAGTAAATATATCCTCCACATCCTGCCTGTAAGAGGGACAACATTGAAAACTTTATATAAATAAATTATTCAGAGGTTATAATCTCAAATTCCTGCTTCAATGATAATAGGATTCTCCGTATCAACAAGTTACCCAGAGGTTATAATCTCAAATTCCTGCTTCAATAATAATAGGTATCTTCATATCAACCAGTTACCCAGACGTTTTCTTTTCAAATTCCCCCTATGAATCAGAAAACGGTTGAACTATGCGTTTCATGAGAAAATAAGCAGTACAATTATCCACTAATGAAAATTAAATCTATTTTACAAACTACAGACGTATCTCACCAAATTTCTTAACTAAATAATTGCCATGTAAAGATACAGTGAAAATTTGAACTCTCAATTTTTAACAACATCCACATGTTTTTATATTGGTTGGTTTACATAACGTACTTGCAATCCATCACAGAGGAAAAGGATGATTGTACATAAAACTGTCACCAGGACTACGTGGGACATCGCATCTTTTTTCTTGTCTTCTTGGATGGAAAAATGAAACAAACAAAAAATTAAATCAATTGAAACAATCATAGTAAACACAAAAAGAATTGCTAAATATCAGCATCATTGTCGACTATAAAGCCATACAAGGAAGATAAAATGTCTTTCTGATAGCATGACCCTAATCAGGTTAAAACACATTTGAAAGCGGACTGTTTCTGATGACACGACACTAATTAGGTTAAAACACATATGAAAGTTGACTGTTTCTGATGACACGACACTAATTAGGTTAAAATACCAGTGGAAGATATCTTTCTCCTTTCTAATGGCAGGACTAAAAGATAAAAAATAGAAACACTTGTGTAAGTTGACTATTCTTCTAACGGTGAGACGCTAAGTTAAAAACGATTAATAAAACACATGAAAATAGGCATTTCTTTTAACGGTACGCCATTAATTACGGTTGAAAATAGATGCAAATACACAAGAAAGTCTGGCGGTACAACAGTAATTAGATTAAGATTAAATATAAAAAAATCGAATAAATGTTCACTTTCTTTCCTTTGGTATGACATTAATTAGGTTAAAAAACGAATAACAAATATGTATGATAGAGAACTTTTCTTTCTGACAAACAACACTAATTAAGTTAAAAACGAAAATAAATGAAAATTATAGTCTTTCTTGTGATTCGACACTTGTTAGGTCTATTTAAAAATATATAATAAGAAATATTTGGAAATTGACAATTTGGCATGACACCAAGTCTGTTTAGAAATCAACAATATAGGAACGTTTTCATTTTTATTATTATATATGAACATTGTCTAGAATATCACGAACTTCTAGCAATTAAATCAGATAGGGTAATAATACAATATTTTCCAACCACACATAATATAAATACAAAACTTATGGGGAAGGTGAAAATGTTGAAGGAGCAAGAAAAATGACGCTTTCTTAATGTTAATAGCAAGTGGACCTAAATTAAAACATACAAATATTATGTAGAATGAAATAATCTAATTAATAATATTAAAACGATCACTTTCTGCGGTTGTCTTACCACAATCTATATTTCCATACATATTCTGCGTGTTTGATGTAGTGTGTGTCGAGTTTATTGGATAGGTCCCTTTGTGTTCTTGTCTTCCTACGAGACTCAATGAAAGAATGACAACGGGAACCTACAAGAGAAGTAGTGTTTTAATAAAGAACGCTTCTAGTGTTTAGTGTTGTTTAACTACTGGAATATGGTATGAAAAGACAAGGAAACAACCTTGATCACAATGGAAACAAATAGTAAACAAATGAAAAGCTACATAGCCAACGAAACAACCCCAATCACTACGGAAACAGTAAAAATAGAAAAGAAACGAAAATATACACAGACAACGAAACAACCACAATCGTTATCGAAACAAACAATGAAAATGAGGAAGACACGAAAACATAAATAGGCAACTAAACAACTCCAGCCATGATGGAGACAAACAGTGAAAGAAGTAAAGAAACGACAAGATAAAAATACGAAATCATATAACCCTAGCGCTGTCGAGGGATGGAACTTTTCTCGTCAGTTTGACCCTGATGAAAGAAGGTGCCCCTTTCAAAATCAGTTGGGTTATAGGGTTTCATATTCTTGTCTTTGATTGTTTTTTGAATATATATATATATATATATTTCTAACATCACAAATAAGTGAAACAAAACGATACATAGAGAGCGTAACAATAATAATAACTATTGAGGCGATTAGAGGATATATATAAACAAAATTAATGAAAATAATTTAAAAAAAAGATAGGCAACGAAACAATCACAATCACTATGGAAACAATTAGGGATAACAATAATGAAACAAAGCAATACGTAAGCAAAGAAACAGTCACAATTACCATGCAACCAAACAGTGAAAGTGATGTGGTATGCTTATTGATTACCACAAAGAGCATTAGTTTGGGTTTAAATAAACTGTCTGAGTTTTAAGCTAAGAAATAAATAGATTGGACATGATGTGTAATACAAAATGAGAACAAGCGTTATTTATATCAGACACAAAACACACGCGTGTACTTGCATTGGACATTGTATGGTTTCTTGTCACTGGACCCTGGATTGATCAACATATTTTCTTCCCTCAAGATGTCTTCTTGTAAATCAGCTCCTTTGGGATCCCATGTGTACTCGCTCAAATCTAGTGTCCCTTACTTAACGGGAAATTATTAGCCCCATCCACGTGACCGGCCATTCTCATTAAACTTAGGGAAGAACATAATCTAAAAATACCACCTGACTTAACAGTAAAGTGCACTGCTTTCGTCTACATTCTTGAACAATGTTAAGTATTACAGGAATAAAACACGTCCCTCCCTAGACGCAGAACAGGTAGTATCTCAGTAGTATAGATGCAGCTAGAATAAAGTCAATTTAACACGTGCTATACTAAAAACTTTACAGATTCAGAATAAACGAAAACATTCTAAAACTCCTACATTAAAATGCATAACTTATCTTTATACCACACTTTCCTTCTTCCTCTGTTTCAGGCTTATCCTCAAACTGACATTTAAGTTTAACTTTGAAACCAATTAATTTTACACTCGTAAGATGGTTAAGAAGTATGTTGACCCTCTCTCGACGCTTAAAACATTTACCCACAACATTTGGACTTCTTCGTTCACCTCTTATTTCCATTGTGGTGATTATACTTATGGATTTATGAACTGACTGGCTCATCTGCATAACTATGCTGATGATGGCCACAACTGTGGCATTGGAAATGGTGATCTGAGCCTTGGCAATAAGTGGAATTGTCTGGAACACATTCCACCCAACCTTCCAGAATTCTAGTCGATTCACATAAGGATTTACTTTTTAGAAAAGTTTGATTAACTCATCCACTAACATGTTTTTGCAGTCTGCCAAAGTCATCATAAGATAAATTTTACCAGGCAGATGGTGCAGATCGTCTGTGTAAGTGATGCTTCTCTTTCAACCTTAAACTTTGGCCAATGGAGCACTCAATTTTTACACTGAGTTGACTTGTTGGTGCAACTCGACCATGACAGTATTCTAGCTTTCTTTTTGTGCCCTTTTCAAATGCTCAATGGAATGCATGGTTGGTTCATTTAGGCTCAGTTCAGCAATTGAACTGTTTGCGCTTGACTCCAGTTGTTCTAAGCAGTTACTCACCTGAAATGTTTTAGACAAAAACATCTTTATTCACCCCACCTTTGAAAATAAGGGACAAAGTATGCTTGATTTCACTTGCAGGGACACATAGTGTTGGTAACAATATCTCTTTTGTGGGTTTTTTGCTAATACCTAAAAGAAATTCAACCGATGCCGTGGATATGGAGTAGTTAGCATACTCGGCGACTCTGATTCTCAAACTAGTAGTTAATCCCCGGTTCAAGATGACAAAACAATGAGTTTCTCTCAGTAGTTCATGCTAAAGCTCTGCGCAACTCCTAGTTTCTATGGTTGCTCTGGCAGGACACCTCACAGGTAAGACAGTGTAACATATTAGAATTTCAAATAGCCTGAAATTGAGTTAACCGATAAATTTAAATTTAGTAGTTAAATTATACTTTGGTTTGTTTGTTTGTTTTGAATTTCGCGCAAAGCTACAAGAGGGCTATCTGCGCTAGCCGTCCCTAATTTAGCAGTGTAAGACTAGAGGGAAGGCAGCTAGTCATCACCACCCACCGCCAACTCTTGGGCTACTCTTTTACCGACGAATAGTGGGATTGACCGTCACATTATAACGCCCCCACGGCTGAAAGGGCGAGCATGTTCGGCGTGACGGGGATTCGAACCCGCGACCCTCAGACTGCGAGTCGAGTGCCCTAACCACCTGGCCATGCTGGGCCACAAATTATACTTTGGATTTAGCAGTTAAGTAAAAGCCGATATATAATCAGTTTATGATATTTGCTAACAAGATTGATACACATAGTTTTCTCTTTTTAAACACAAATACGTTTTAATATACACAAAAACAATACAACTTATAATAACAGTTATTACAAATAGTTATTACAAACAATGATTTATAAACAAAAGATTCACAAACTTACAAGCAATATAAAGTCTTCTTTCTAGTCTGGAACTTCCTTGATATCTTATTGAGGGTTCACGATGAGAGAGTTAATTACGAGTTGATGTAGGTACGATTCGCTTAACGGGAAGCTAGCTAGCTTTGTCCTTTGTTATTCACCAGCCACACACGCCGATTACAGGCCAAGTTTCTTTTACCGCTGAAGTTATATAACATCTTCATAATGGTACAAATGTCCAATATGAATCCACTGAAGTTAAATGATATGTAATGTTCGAGCTTTGTACATGCCCCTGATCAAATATCTGAAGTTTTCCGATTGATAAGCATTATAACAATCGCAGTTATTGCTTCCGAAGTTTATAGCACAATGACTCTAGCAAACTAGTAATAGATACTCTTTTATTCGCGCGTCGCGTTGGTTATAATTATAGGTGTGTGGAGGCTTTCTAGAAAATTCAGATTACGTAACAATACATATTTAAGCGTTTATGTACATGCATATATTGTTGATTCTTACTCTCGAGAATCTTCTACAACTTTGGAGAACAGGCGGGAGATTCGCACTATAACGCTATTTAACACTATACGCTATGCATATTTCTGAATATAAACTTAATCTAAACAAACGTTGATATTAAAGTAAATATATAATAATAAATCCGTCACAACAAGGCTTTTGACTGTTCCAAGGAAACAATTAGTGAAAGTTGTAAAGAAATGAAAAATGCATAGACAATGAAGCAAACACGACTACCTGTAAACAATTAAGAAATTTAAAAATCTCAGACATCAAGCAAAAGTACATAAAAAATAACTCTAATGATAAGTAATATTCTTACCATCAGTAGTGCCATGATCCAGAAAGCTAAGTCAATGTGGGTTTTGCTCTGCGCTTCAGCGAGTGTTGTGGCAGACAGGGAATAGTTTTCTTCGTATTCATTGACAACTTCTGTGGTATTGTCTAGGAAGTGAGAACAGTCCTGATTCAAGAGGAACGGTTGTACTATCATTGGACTTAAAAATGCTCCAACTCCATAGAAAAAATGAAGTGCCTATAGTTGACAGGAAAAAAAAATAGTTGCTATGATAACTACACAAGTCACAATTTGTGTAGAAAATTTATATTTTTGATCTATCTAATAAAATTCAGCTTCAGGTCTTGCAGACCTATTACACACGCAACTACGTACACAAGTAACAGAATAATTATACATTGTCTTTTTCTACCCAAAAGTACGCTTGAACAAGATATCAAATTAACACGTATATTAATTGTTATTTTAAAACATGTCATAACGTTTACATTTTCTTTATTGAATGATATATTATATCATGTTTTGTATTGGCAAGCTTTTAGATATTTTTGTAGCCATGTAATTATAACTTTATAAAATATATAATTCTCAAGATTTTCATACCAACACATTTTTATGTAATAAAATGTATTTTATATGTACCTCAATTAATATAAAGTCTCAAACACAATAACCACTTATTTCCTAAATTAATTGACATTTACAACTATCTACATCGTAACAATTTTTACCCTGGCATTAATAATAGTAAAAATGTCAGTTTCTTCACCTTTTAACTTAATATGTATATATATTTACTTTCTGAAAAAAAATTTAAATATAATTTACTTAATTCACATTAATATTTTTCATATCCTCACTAATTAAAGGAATCGCATCTTCTTTTGTACCTGTACTACATATTACAGTAGTATCATCAGCAAATATTATAATATTTACATGCAATTTGGCTTACAAAAGTAATTTATAAATATATACATAAATATGTCTTCAAACAGATCCTTGTAAAACACCATACATAATTTATAGTAGATTACTAAAACAGACCTTTAGATATACATATTGTATTACATTTTCAAAATAGCTTTTAAACCATTTTAAAGATGATCTTTAATTCATTTATTTTGTAAAATTTTAATAGTATATTATGTGATATCATGTAAAAAAACTTTAGCAATATGAAAACGTATAGCGACAGTTTCTTTCCTATCATCTAATGAGTTATAATGTTTAGAGTAACATGTAAGAGATGATGTTCACTATTTAAAGTTTCTTTAAAACCAAGTTTTATTTCGGCAATTAGATAGTTTTCTTCATAAATGAATTTAGTCGTACGTTTACTAACTCTTTAATGATTATTTTCGATAAAACATGTAACAATTCTATTGCTCGATGGATTACCAAATCATTTTGTCTTCACTGTTATTTATATAGGAATTACTTTAGCTATATTTATTTGATTGGAAAAATTCCAGATTGTAAAGATAAATTGTATATATATATATATATATATTAATGACCCATAAATACAATATATATTTTTTTATAATTTCAATTTTTAAATTATCAGTAACAGTATTTTTTATTTTATAAATAATTCGATATACTTTTTATTTCATTATATGTTGTTTAATATAAGGGTTTGAACTCGACATATTTTCCCATTCTTTATCCATATTTTCCTGGTCTTTACCAACATATATTTTAGTAACACTTATAAATGCTTAATAAACTAATTTGCTATAGTTGAATTTGTTATCAGTTGTATTATTTACTTCAACAAAACTTTTACCTAGGAATAAGAAATAGTTTTAATTTCCATATATAATACTATTTATATAATTAAACTGCTTTTTTTTCTATTTCCATCACATCTCATTAACTGTTATTAATGTACTCATAACTTACATTATTTAACATAATAATAAGCTAATTTCTTTATCATTTAAAATGCTATTCATATTTCTTATCATAAAAATTATTTTTATATTTCTTAAATAATGTATCTTGATTTTTCATGAATTCTCTAGTTTCTAAAGTAATTCTATATTTTTGTCTTATTGTGTTTATTCAATTGCCTTATTTCTGTTTCAGGTTCTTCAAATATTTTAATAATGTATTTTTAAATAAATTATAAGCTCATTTAATAGTCTACTTTAATATTAAATTTTAACAATATACATTTTCCATTTTTTCTGCATTATTTCATAATTTATTCTTGTATGAGTTTCGGTTTTCGCTTCATATATATTTTAATTTTGCTGTAAAATATTTTTATTGCAGTGCGATGATGATCTGTTACGGTAGAATATACAGCAGTAGACATTCCTTCCTATTCTGAATCACCTCTAATAAAATATTGTCTATCTAAACATGACTCAGATGTATTACTTATTATTATGGGTGTATTTATATAAGAATTAAATTTATTTGAGGCTAAATAGCTTTAAAAATCATGAACATATTTTTCTACTATTAATCATCATCAATTTTTTTGTTGTAACCAGAAAATACTTGTATTGAACACATCACTATGGAAAGATAAGAGTGATAGTTTCTTACGTCGTCTAGTGTTGTCAGTGTTCTCGATACATCAGCCACTGGATACTTACTTCGTTCTAACGATTATTGACTTGTTTTATGATAAGACATTTTTTAAACAAACTGTCTTACTAGTAAGCCTCTTATTCTTAACACTGAAGGACAGAACGAAAGCATTATTGATATTAAGATGATAGCATAACTTACTGTCAGAAATCTCTGATTCTTTGTGAAACGTGTCTTTGTTTTCCTGAAATCTGTTATACCATGTACATTACACTCACTATCGTCTATCACGACTAATCCTAACTAATAAAATGATCATATACAAATGTTGTTATATTTATTGTTGTATATACTTAGAGAGTATTAGATAGCAATATTGTTGCATAAATGTTTGTCGAGTTTATTAGGTCGCAACGTTTATTAACAATATATGCGTACGTATGCTGAAAACTGCAAAATAGAAACAGTTCAATTCACTAAGAATATGCACTTGTTTTGTTATCAGAAAGAAGGAAAAATAGCAAATAAAAACTTATATGTTTACTGAGAATATACATGTTTAGCTCTACACAAAAATAATAAAACAACTAAAAACGGAACAATTCAAAATTATGAAAACTGAAATCAGAGTCCCCAAAATAAAATACTGTTACAGAAGAAATACTTCCCTGGAGAAACGGTGACACTTCCTTTCCATACAGCTGGATCATGGAGACGTTTGCCACTGTATCGATAGTGCCCATAAAAAACCCCATTATAGCCAACACAACACCCAACGTCCAGAGTAAATTGCAGAAAGGAATAATTGCCATGGTGATAGTCATAACTGTTGTTCCCACTATTAGCATCACATTTGTGGTAAATCTATAGAAACATTAAGAAACGAGTCACAACTGCTGGAATATTTTCAAATGTACATATCATGTAAACATAGGTTATTTTGTTGTACAGACAAAATTCCTAAACTTTTTTAACTGGAAGATTGTAATGTCGTAAAGTAACACAACATGTATATGTCAGGTTGTAACAAGATGTAACCGACAGCAAAACTTAGATTTGTAAGGAGATGTAAACACCACTAAAACATCAGTTTTTAACAAGATATAGTCAGCAGTAAAACGCCATTCTGTAACAAGATGCACCTTTTCTGCCTATATTTTTTCCTGTATTGCACTCTTACGAAATTTCTTGTTCAAAAAACCACTACCTTCTTTAAAGCCTTTTGTAATATTATAAACTTATTTTGATGTGCTTGTTTATAACATTATTGCCTATTTCGATGTGCTTCTTGTAATATTATCTTTCTCTTTTGATGTGCTTTTTTTGTAACATTATCAACTTACTTTAACGTGCTTGTTTATAAAGTTATCGCAGTAAATACATAGAAATAGAATAGTTTTACTGAAAGTTTAATTATATAATATGTTGGCATATAAGATTTTACAGCCATCGATTTTACAGATATTATGGATGTAACACTTTCATATCAATGAAAATAAACACGCCTTACAGCAAGTACATTTGGTTGAACCTCAACATTTCGGCACATGTTGCCTGAACTCATTCATGCGGGCAACACTTAATTCTACCACTTAAGCAAATTCACCACACGTTCAGGTGTGCCTGCCTCCGAAAGTGGCTAATACACTAAATAATTTGCCAGTTGGGTTTCCACAATGTCCAGTGTACTGAGCATGTGCAGAGTCAGAAGCACCGGATGTTTTGATTCCTCGGCACCCATAATTTTAATAATGATACTATTTTCTTGGTGACTGTGACATGGTATCGTGGAGAGTCCTGGCAGAACTTGAATCTGAATATAGTTCTAAGCAAAATCAAGATTATAACACAAATCTTATTTTTATAAATTTATGTTGTACCCATTGAAAATAAATAAGTCTACTTCACGGACGACATCTGTGTTTGTTAAATTATTTTGTTTCGTCAAAGTGAAACGACGAATTCAGTTTCCATTTCAAGTGGTCGGGCAAATTTGACCTATTTACATTCTTCATGTATTTTCTAGGGCCACTTGTTATTTTGGGCTCAGTACATCAGATTCACCCAAGAATGCCATATTTTTACATATTCTATGAGAAAACATGTGGATTCTACATGTACATACAAAATTACAAGTTGCGACACCAGCCAGAAGAAATCGAGCAGTTTTCTTTAGTATTATATGAATCTGAAAGCTAAGAGATAACAGCCACATCTACTATTCACGTTACATACATCCTAGAAAGTAAAAATCCTGAAATTTGTAAAGTATATTTTTTTATAATAATTGTAAATCAATATATCGAATATCATTTTAATTAGTTATATTCAAACTTTACATCATTGGTTAAATTATAATATAGGAAAAATTCATGAATAAATATTTTTTTTAGAAAAACTCAATTGTTCATTTAGAAAGACATATACTGCGATTCCATTATAAACAGTAAATACAACAACCTTAGCCAAACTTGTTCCTGAATAGAATACAAACAGTTTCTAATTGTATACACAATAGCTTTAGCTAAACCTGTATCTGAGCTTAATAACCGATGTAACCTTCCTTGCAACAAAGACACGTGAATTTATAAACTACATTTGTTGTTTTATATGAAGAAATACAACCTTATAGCTGAAGAAATACTACATAAGACATCCTGGTTTTAAAATACATCACAACTGTGGATGCGGATACACTATTAATTAGGGAGATAATTGTTTTTTAACGTATTGTTACGTCTCCGTTTGTTAATTGATTTCCCGTAAATTTGTCCGACGAAACTTTAGCGACACAAGTCCTTTCTTAATAAAACTGGTTTATTCTTTACGAATATAACTTTACGATACACTTAATTTCAACAGTCGCTCTATAACAAACGTCTCACTAGGGCAACAATATTCTGTCCGCATACATTCAATTACTCATCACCTACACATTGTCCCGTCACGTTGTCACCATCTTATATATACCAGACTACTCTATATCTAGTAAATGCTAGGGCATTCACGAAGGAACAGGATATTTCTAGAAACGTGGCGTGACACTAGTCATGTGACCTCGCTGAAGCAACGCTGCCCCTCTTTAGTATTATTCGTCCCGAATAATAACCACATACAATAAACCAATAACAATTAACAATAGCTTAATTAAATGTACAGAATTACAAACACAAAATTACAATTCAACAAAGTCTCTTAATTTTACGGGACGTATCTTCTTCCGTACTGGTCTCCGTCTCGTTGGCTTCTGCTTCATATGGGGTTCATCTGCTTCATCAGGAAATGTCCTATCGTCGATAACAGTCACATCAGTGGTAGTAACTTCATCAAGAGCTTCACCGTTTCCCTTCTCAAAACTGAGTAGAGTTTCTTCTTCGACGGTGGCTTCTTCAGGTGGCACGTCTTCAGTTAAGTCATTTGTTCTGTTGTCCACTTCGTCCTAACTGAAATGTCCTGGATCGTGATAACGCCAAAGCCTGTTGGCATGCACCACTTTTGGCTTACCTCGGCGACCACATTTTACCCGGAAAGTCACGTCTGAGAGACGATCCACTATGTCATATGGGTCCTTCCCATGGAGAAGACAACTTAGGAAGACTTCCTTTTGGTCTTCCTGGGATTATACAACCATACCTTGTCTCCAGGTACAAAGCTGACTTCAGTAGATCTCTTATCATAAGTTAACTTCATCGAATCAGCAGACGTTTTCAAGTTTGAACGCACTTGATGATGAATATCATCCATCCTTTCCGATAACACTTTCACAAACTCTGACACATTCTCAGGCAACTCTTCATAAGGTCGGCATCCTGTTAACAGATCCACTGGTAACCGAAGTTCCCGACCAAACATCAACTTTGCTGGAGTGTATCCAGTGGTTTCGTGCTCTGCTGTCCTATAGGCCATCAATAGTGGAGGGAGTAAGATATCCCAGTCATCTTGGCGGCTATTACAAAACTTTGCCAATTCCTGTCCCAGTTTCCAGTTGTACCTTTCTACCATCCCATCAGGCTGTGGGTTAAGTGGCGTTGTCCTGATCTTTCGGATGCCAAACAACTTGCAGCATTCTTGGAACACAGCTGATTCAAAGTTACGTCCTTGATCTGAATGCAGTTCATATGGCATACCAAATCTGAAGAAGAAATCACTAATTGCCGAAGCTACAGTTGTAGCTTCCTGATTTGGTATTGCATATGCCTCAGGCCACTTGGTGAAATAATCCATCACCACACAAATGTACTTTTTTCCAGCACGAGTTTGGGGCAGAGGACCAGCAATGTCGACAGCTACTCTTTCCATTGGTGTGCCAACTTGATATAACTTCATTGGAGCACGTCCCTTATGCTTGGGTCCCTTTTTAGCACAACATGTACTGCATGTTCTGCTCCATTCTTCCACATCTTGTCTCATACATATCCAGTAAAATATTTGTCGTAGGTGACTCAATGTCTTCTTAACTCCGAGATGTCCCCCTGTTAAAGTATCATGGGATTGACGCAACACGACTTCCAGTAACTTTCTTGGTATACCGTTTTCCAGGTCGTCACTTTCCCATCTGCAGTTTCCCATCTCCGGAGAAGAATACCATCTTCATGTTTCAACTGGTCCCATTGTGCCCAATAGTTCTTTGTCACAGGGCTTAGACCAGACACCTTCTCCCAAGCAGGGTGCAAAACACTTGCTTTTAGAAAATCAATTATTGGCTTCAAATCTTGGTCTTTCTCCTGTTCTGCCTTGATATTTATATTTGGTTCTACTTCACCATCATCAACTCTTTCAGTCGGCTTCACTTCAGTTTGATGACACCTGGTTAGTTCAACCTCTCTTTTGCAGCAATGTCTGCAGTCATTTTTGCAGGGTCTTCGACTCAGTCCATCGGCATTACCATGAGATTTTCCCTCTCTGTATTTAATATCATAATTATACTGGTCTCTCTTTCCAATCCAACGTGCCAGTTGTCCCTCTGGGTTCTTTAATGATCTTAACCAGCGTAATGCAGCATGATCTGTCCTGATGGTAAACCTTGCACCATAGAGGTAAGGATGGAAATATGTCAAACTCTTTACTATAGCAAGGAGTTCCCTTCGTGTTACACAGTAGTTCCTCTCTGGTCTACTTAAAACCCTACTGAAGTAGGCCACCACATGTTCGTTTTCGCCCACTTTCTGAGACAACACTCCTCCAATTCCGACATTACTGGCATCACAATCCAGTATGTACGGCAGTGGGGGATCTGGAAGCTTTAAAAGTAGAGCAGAGGTCAATTTTTCCTTCAACATCTTGAAAGAACGCTGACAAGAAACTGTCCATTCAATCTTCTGGCCTTTTCAGTCAAATCATGTAGTGG